TTAAGATTAGTAAAATATCTCCATGTTAACATATTTCTATCTAGAACTGAATTCCAATGCAGTTGGATTGATAAACATGAGCTCTGAACAAAAAGATACCAATGGACAATTCAAACTGTAATGACACCAAGCTGTAAGGCTGATTTTATTCCAACTAAAGCTACACCTGCCCCCAAACAACATACACATCGCATCTGGGCCTGAGAACCTTCCGTTTAGGCAGTGCTGTAAAAAGATCAGCTATGACTCTTATATTCCATGATTACTAGTACCCTCTGGATTTGTTAAATTTTGCAAAAAATAAACTACCATGATACTTAATGGTTGAAAGTACCAATTTATTATCCATTTCTCTTGGTTTGGGGGTTGCTATGTGATTTTTCTGGTCTTCAAAAGCTTGACCATAACCGAATAGCCTTGAATGTCCTCACTAGCACGCCTGGGGACTCAGATGGTATAGTAGAGAGAGCACAGGTGACCCAAGCCTCTCTCCACCTGGTCTCTCATCTTGCACACAGCTATTCTTGGCATCATCACCTGTAGCACAAAGATTTCCAGTTATAAGAAATGGCAAGTCCCCAATATGTAAGCACTTTTCAACTCTCTGTTTTTGCTTGCTTGCTCACTTGATTTGTTTATTTACTGAGAGAGAGAGAGATTTTTGTTATTAGGGTGTGTGGACTCACCAGAGAAACAGAGAGACGGAATTAGAAAGTGAGCAATCACCTCCCCACCAGGGCAGAGGGCTGTGGTGCAATCCCTTCTCCTTCATTTTTCTCTTGGGATTTTGGGCACATACACACTTGTGCCTGGCTTGAGTTTTAAGCCGCTGGGTCCAGGACTCAAACTCTGGTCGACTACGTGGAAGTCTAGTGACGTAACCATTATGTTCTCTCCCAGTGTGAGTTTTAAGCCAGGACTCAAACTGCAGTCAGCCATGTGGTAGTCCAGGGACTCAACCATTAGGCCATCTGCTGGTCCCATTGCTTGATTTTTTTTCATTGTCATATTACCTAAGGTAAATGACTTGGTTACCTTCAGTGTCAGTGTGGTGGCAATTATATAAGGGAATGGGTACAGAGAGACTTGAACAAATCGAGAATTGTTCTATCACATCATCTGATTAGTATGTTCCTCTTCCTCCATCTCATCTCTCTCCTTCTCCTATCCTTTCCTCTTCTTTATGTTTATATAACGAACGAGACTATATCTACGTTCTTGTATTTTCCTTTTTATTATTATATTTCTTTCTCCCATGAGCAAGAAAGAGAGGGAGCATCCCCAACAGGGTATTGATACCAGATTCCATCCCCAGCTCAAGCCAGCCCTGGATCATGGGCACGTGAGTGCTTCGTGTCCTCAGGAAGGTCTCCAAACACAAACCTGGAACTTCTTCCAGTGGGCCAGCCTCACTGAGCGTCACGTTGTACCGCTGCATGACCGTGCAGCCCTTACAATCTTATGCTTTCTGTTTTTGCTACATAAAAATCATTTATGCCGGAAGGTATATTTTTTCATATATTGAATTCATCTGCAATTTACTAATTACCTCAACCTTCAGTGCTCCCGACAATGACAATCCATTTCTTTTTATCACTTAAAAGTACTCTGAGTGCCCATGGGTTCTCTTCAGAGGAGAAACTAAGACCCCTTTTAAACTGATCCTATTGCATGGGAAAATTATGGGATTACTATTTCATTTTGATGGGGGCTGCTCACTTAGAAATAGCTATTTATTACAGTCAGTCCCCGATCCTAACAAAAAATAGACATGTTTATTCTGCAGTTTAGTTGTTGCTAGGATGTGAAGATTGAGAGGTAGAAATTGTATAATATACGGCTTGTTTAGAGTCTGTAATTTTCTACTCTATGACTCTTCTGTCAGCTAACTGTATTAAGCCTATTATTACTATAATCAGATACCAAAGAGGATAAAAGCAACATATTAAAAATAAGAATATAAATGCTTTGGAATGACTAGTACTTTTGATTGCAATCAAGGTGGTTTCTAAAGTATGAAATAAACCTGTGCATTAGTGATTCTTGTAGTTTGGATGTATCCCTGCCATTTTCTAGACAGAGGCATGTGAGTGACTGTACATAGTCTTCATTTTGTATCACTGTAACACATACGTGAAGAGCTAAGTTGGCATTGTTTGGTACAAATGATAGACTTGATTTTTAGTTCCACAGCTAGGCCTCAACATCCATGTCTTTTCTTTTTTTGGTGGGGGGGAGGTAGTTTCCAAACATTCTATAATTTAATAGAGAATTGTATGTATTTATCATGTACTACATATTTTGAAGTATATATTCATTGCAAAAAATCAAATCTAGCTACTTAAGAAATGCATTACCTCATATAGTTATCATTTGTGTGGTAAGAACACTTAACACCCACTCAGTATTTTCAATAATATAAGACATCATCATTAAGTATAGTCACCATACTATACAATAGTACTCCTCCGTTCTAGTTGTAAATATATGTTCTTGACAGCCATCATTTCTGTTGGCCTGTCCTCTAAAAGTACATTTTTAGATGTGTCTCGGTATTTTAAATAAATTTTTCAATGGTGTGTAATAGTTATACATGTTTATGAAGTATAGTGTGCTTTTTTCAGTACATGCGTACAATGCATAGTAATCATATCAAGGAAATAAACATTTTCGTCATCTCTTAACATTTACTATTACGTTGTGTTGTGAACATTCAAGATCTTTCTACCTGAATTTTACATTAAATTGCTATTAACTACCGTTAATCTGCTGTATATTAGTACCCTAGAACTCACCTAACTGCAATTTCATATATCTTAACCAAGCTTTTCCTATCTATGCCTTCCCCCACCCCTTCCCAGCTTCTGGCATCCACCATTCCATTCTCTACTTCTATGCAAATGAATCTTTTAACATCCTCAAATGAGTGCAACTGTGGTGTTTATTTTTCATTGCCTGGCTTGTTTCACTTAGTATATTTTCTCCAGGCTTATGCATGTTGCCAAAAATGACAGAATTTCATCCTTTTTTTATGGCTGAATATTTCGTTGTATATACATCCCACATTTTCTTCATTCATTTATAAAGAATTGCCCTGTGGATGGACACATAGTTTGATTCCATGTATTGGATATGGTGACTAGTGCTGAGATAAACAAGGGAGTGTGGACAGCTCCTCAGCACTCTGCTTTTCTTCAGATTATATCAACCCTTTGTCTTCTACAAATATTTCTCAAGTCCTAGACCTCTCCAACACTAGAAGATCTACTAGATTGATTTCACTTAAAAATATGTTTAGAGGGACCAGCAGTTGGCATAATGGCTATGTCCACTGGACTCCCTTGTAATAGACCGCAGTTCGAGTCCCAGACCCAGTGGCTTAAACTCATGATGGGTGCATGTGCGTGCATGCCCAAGATCCTGAGAGTAGAATGGAGGAGAAGGGATTGAAGCCTGACCATCCCCCCGGGGATATATATATATATATTTATATTTAGAGGAAAAAATATTAAAATTAGTTTGTTTGCTACACAGATATATATATATATATATATTTATATTTAGAGAAAAAATATTAAAATTAGTTTTTTTGCTACACGGAAAAACCTAATTACTCAACTTTTTACTATTTAACCAGGTGTATGTGTTTATGTGCATGTTATTCAGAGAAAAGGTCTTGACTGGCCTATGTATTTGAAGGTAGCATTAATCTTTAATGATTCAGATCCACCCTGTTCCTGTTAAAATGACTGACATTTCTGACTTTGATTGCATTTCTGGTTGTTGCTGTGAAACTTGCCTTTTACTATGACTCACTTTGCATCGAGCCAATGCTAAAAACACATAGAATAGCCCTTGTTTGGAATGTTGTAAATTGGGTTGCTTGATTGCATTCCACAGCTTTCCAGTTGTCTGAAACTGGGCTATATCATTGCACTTTATGATTTTAATACACACTCAGTATCTGCTGTGGCCTTTGAAATTGCCCCCTTTCTGTTCTTGCATCAGAAGCTGTTTGAATAGCATGTCAGTATTCATGATCCACACATATTCATTCTTGTGAAGTTGTTTTTCAGTAATCCTCATGTTATCAATCATATCCTCGGTACATTCCATATTCTTGTTCTGTAGTGTTGTATTTCCTTTTTCTGGCTAATACATCCCGTGATACCTCAGCAAATCTTATCTGATGTCCTGATGAGTATTTTTTTATATATAAGAGAAACAACTTTAATGTGTCCATATTTTAAAAAAAGCATTAAAGTATATACACTTTATTTATTTATTTTTTTAGTTTCTACAGGGCATGTGTGCTTGCTGGTTGGAGGGAGGGAGGAAGAGAGAGGGACAAAGAGAGAGACAAATCCACCACCCAGAGGGGGATGGCCACACTACCATCCCCTACCTTCCATTTTCTTCTTAGGAATTTGGACAGGCACCCACACACACTACCCTGGCCTCATTTTTAAGTTGCCAGTTGGGGACTTGGAAAGTCGGCCCTGTGGGATGCAGCCACATTTAACTCCATGCCACCTGATGGTCTCACTTTTTAAATTTTATTTAGATGGTTAGGACCAGCAGTTGGTGTAATGGCTATGTCTCTGGACTCCCATATAGTAGACCGCAGTTCAAATCCTGGACCCAGTGGCTTAAATTCACGCCAGGCGCATGTGTGTGCATGCCCAAGATCCCAAGAGGAGAATGGAGGAGAAGGGATTGCGGCATGGCCATCCTCCCTGGGGGGTGATTTCTTGCTTTCTGTCTCTGTGTCTCTCTCTGTCTTTCTGGTGAGCACATGCGCCCTACAGCAAAAACCTCTCCAAAAGTTTTTTTTTTTTAATTTTTATTCAGATAGTTTGTGTACAGTGTTCCAGAAAACAAGTGAATAATTCCCTTTCTTGTGTGTGTGTGTGTGTGTGTGTGTAGAGGGGGAGTTTATTTTTTCAGACCTAAGAACCTCATGCCCCATTTAACTCACCAGGTCATGTTTTCTCTTCTAGGACTACAATGATGAAATTCGTCAGGAACAACTCCGTGAATTATCTTACTTAAACGGCTCAGAGGACTCTGGCCGTGGCAGAGGTATTAGAGGCAGAGGGATCAGAATAGCCCCTACAGCTCCTTCAAGGTACAAGTTTCTTGTGTGTGTGTGTGTGTGTGTGTGTGTGTGTGTGTGTGTTTAATTATTCAGCAAAGAATGAGGGCAGAATTTTGCCATCCTGCTCTTTGTCATAATCACAGCTAAGGAAAAACAATGACCTCAGCAGTAGTCACCACTACTCCAACAAAATAACAAGTGCTTGCTTATGTAGCATCAAGACTTTACCTGTATTAACACATCCAATCTCCCATAACGGGAGATAACTACTCTTTACAGGTGAAAAGCTGAGGTACAGGAAAGTATATGGAATTTACCTAAGGTCAGACAGGCAGTCAACCTCTAGCACTTCCTCTTCGGGTTCTCAGTAACTGCCCATAGAAAACAAGGCAGTTAACTTCAGTTTTCTACATTCTTGTTCTTTCCCCAGGATTAGGCTCACAGGCGATACACCCCTTGCCTCTTCAAACCAATATAACCTTGCATGAGGAGAAGTCAGTAAGTTTCGTCTATCTCTAAAATTGTTTGCACTATATAGTTTTGCCAAGCAGGGAGGCAAGAAGGGAAGTAGATACCCAGATACAAATAGAGAGAGAGTGATACAAAACCAGATACAGATAAGATATACACTGTCAGCCCAGAGAGCAGAAAAGCATACTTCTTGCATAGCTAATGTCAAGAGTACTTAAAGTTCAGATCCATTTGACTTTGCAGTGTCCTTAATGATCAGAGAGGATTTTACTTGATTTTGTTCACTATGCAAAGAAATTACAATCTTTCTGTCTTAGAACTTGTTTTGTAGGATTCTGAATTTGTCAAGCTTTCAGAAGAAAGCATTGGTTTGCAAAGAGGTAAAGTGAAAAATACTAATAGCCTTCACACACAAAGTGATTCAGTCATTCGCTTCATCCTGGTATAGGTGGCCTTTAAGTGTCTAAATAACATCAAGTATTATTTTATAAACCATATAAATTATCTTGAAAGGTGCTAAGTTATTTTGCAGATTGAATGTGTTTTTTAAATTATACTCCAATTATTTTCAACTACTACTGTCAAAATACCAGTCTTTAACTTTTAAATCATAAACAAAATAATGATATGTAAAATATGGTAATTCTATAAAATAGATTTAACTAAATGACAGATTTCTGAATGCGTCCTAGAGCTTATCTTTACATTTATATCTTTTAAAAAAAAGTTAAAAAAATAAGGGCCAGTAAATGGCGTAGAGGTTAAGGCATTGGATCCCACTTAGCCAACAGCACCGTTCAAGTTCCGGACCCAGAAGCTTAAAAAACACACTGGGCATTTGTACACGTGTAGTCAGAATCCTAAGAGGAAAATGGAGGAGAGGAGATTGGAACTGGGTCATCCCTCTGGGGGAAAAGGATTTCTCACTTTGTCTCTCTCTCTCTCTCTCTCTCTCTGTCTCTGGCAAGTGCACACTCCCTATAACGAAAACAATCCAGTAAATAAATAAATACATAATTGAAAACAGAGCTTTATAGTATTATTTATGTCATTTGTTCATTGCTGAGAGTTAATGTGATGAAACACAATAGTTTTTATTTTTTTAAGTGAGATCAGTTTTTTATAAAAACCTTGTATATTTCTTGCCTCATCTTGTTAGGTCATAAAATGACATTTCAAGTCATCTTAAGTGGAGTTATTTGTACGGGATAATTCATAAAATTGCCACTTTCGCAGTTCAAAAAATGCCAGTTTTAGTGGCTTTATACGGTGTGACCTACACATATAAGATGACTAGAGAAGACACACATTTTGTCTATACTCCTTGAAACTGTGACCACTTAAGAAAAATAATGTTACGAGGTGTGTCAATGTACAGTGATTAAATGTATAAAATAAATTTTAAAAATATGTTTATTTGCTTTTGTCATATTCAAATGAACTATATAAGATTTTAATTTCTATAGAGCTTTCTTTTAAAAAATTAATCTGTTAATAATGTAGTTAAGAATTGTGCATTATGGTCTAGATTTTTAAATGTCTTTTCGAAGAAAAACTTGAAAGCTTTTTCTTTTTAATCTTCATATATCATACAGATCTGCTACTGAATACATAAAAAGAAAATGAATGTTAAAAATTATCCTCACTTCCAATATTGTATTGATATCATTAATGGTATTAACACTAATGTAAGTAAATGGAACAGAATGTTGTTGTCTTCTGTTTCAAACAACATAATGAAATGGATCTACAATTAAAAATTAACAAGAAAATAGCTTTAGAAACTATAAAACCATATTGATCAGAAGGCTTTGGAAAACATGAGATAATAGATTCTAGTTTATACAAACTTATGAAAGTATTACTTTTATTAAGCTATTCAATTATACTTATATTCAAAATGATGGTGCTTAGAACATTTTAAACTTGCGTAATTAATTCATTGAAAATCATTTTAATTAAAGGAATTTACATTTCAATAAACAAATCTGTGATGACTAATCTTCCAATAATAATAATACATATCAGACAACAAAGCTTTACATCTGTATGTTATAATAATCATTTATTTTACATAATTGAGGAAGGAAAATATATGCCATTTCTAACACAGCACTGCATGTTGAAGTCAGAGCAGACAGTGGAAAAGGAAATTCGGGGCAGATTTTGAAGACTTTGTTTCCTGAAATGAGCACTACTATAGAGAACTAGTGGGATTTGTTAAAAAGGAAAGTAGTCATCTTTGTTTCTAAGAAAAACTACTGGGTTATCACTGACAGTGATAGAGAAGACTTAGAGTGACTAGAGAGACAGAGACAGAGAGAAACTGAGAAAAAAGAGAGCAAGAGATTGAATCATGTTAGAGAAGCCAATGAGGAGACAGGTCATTATTCAAGATGGATATAATAGAAATGAATAGCACTTAGAGTATGGAGAGATGAGATATTATTAAAGATTAACATTTGTAGGAATTAATCCCAATTATATGTTGGAGAGGAATGGTGGCCTAAGATAAAAATAACTCTCTGGTGTCGAGCCTACAAAGAGATTGATGACGTCAACTACAATTAGGTGAAGGATCAAGTTAAATAAAGAATATAATTATTTCTGTAACTAATTCTAGCTCTGTGGATTACTCACACGACCCTGAGTAGGTGACTTGTATGCTCTTGCTTTCATTTCTCAGTTTATTAACTGCCTATGTAACAAGCTTGTCAAGATGTTTAAATTAGATGAGGTATATAAGGTAGCGGTTCTCAAACTGGCCTATATGTTGGAATCACAGGAGGCTTCCTGCCTCCACAAATGGTGATTTAATTGACCTGAGGTATGGCCTGGAATTGGAATTTTTACAAGATCATCAAGTAACTGTAATATGCATATTACATATTACATATTTTGATACACGAAACATACGTTGGGATAAACTGCATTGTGTTGGGAAAGAAACAGATAATACCCACCACTAGAATGAGGGGGCTGCAGGTGCATCCTTGAGAGAAAGAAAGAAGATAGAGGGTAGAATTTAGGGATCTGAATATTCCAAGGCGGACTCAGAAATACAGACCAGTTGTAGGCAAAGGAGGAAGAAAGAGAAAAAGGAAAAGAGGAAGAAAACAGAATCATAAAAGTCCGAAAAAACATTTTCCATAGAGCAGTTTACCATCTAAAATATAAGCATGGTGGTCCAGAGGCACTGGGACTGTGAAAGAATCCAGAGAATTTGGAAATCGGTAGGCCGCAGGTGATCTCAGTCAAGAGTATTGTCAACAGGGTGGTGAAAGCAAGAACTAGACTGATTGTTTTCAATTGGGAAATGAGCAGGAGATAAAGTGTTAAACCTAGCAAATGTTCTTTGAAGGAGTCAGAAAAATAAAACGACTACTGTGGTGTATATTTAGCCAGTGGCAGTATCCTAAAATAAGAGAGGTAAAAATCTTGATTTGAATTGGAGGAGGAAGCAATGGGGTTAATATTCCAGGGAAAGGACACAGTCCTCAGGAGATAATGAGTCAGACAGAGTCCAGAGACAGGTTTGCTGGGATGGTGTCTGGAAGTCAGCTGATGAAAGAATGGAATGCCAAATTAGGTTTGATGCAAGCTTCATATATAATCATTTTAGAACAGAAAGAACTGTAACAGATTCAGAAACATTCACTTTATTCACTAGAAAAAGCAAAACACCTCAAATCCAGGAAGTTATAATCCTTACCTTGCTTATTCAATAGGCTAGCTAGGACTTTGGAATCCAGTTTAGAGGAAGGGGAACTACATAATTTATTACCCACACATGGGCACTTTGCAAAGCATTAACATGCTAAACTGAGCAGGAAGCTATTATAGTTCAGTAGTTGCAATACCTGGACATATGTTCATCTTTCTTATGAAAAAACAGCTAGCTGCTTGGAGGCTTGGTAAAGGTAAAATTGGTCTTTACATTCTTTTTTTAATGCATGTGTCTTTTTATTACCATGAAAATACAGAATATCCTGTTGTACTGGAAGCTGGCTTTCAGCCTGGGTCTTTTGAATTTTACCATCCCTTAATCTAGTAGAGAGCTCTATGTATGTTAGACTCACAATAAGTTCTCTGATAATTTCTCTATTCATCGGCTTTATCATCTATTTAAAATGTTTAAAAGCTTTACCAGCATTCTTGCTCTTCACTCCTAGAAGCTCGTTTTCTGCAAGATAGAGCCAGCTGACTGCTATTCATAGCCGAGCACATAACCTATCCCCGTATGTGGGTAGAGCCAAACAGTGTGATTGTTGACATCCCAATGATCATCATTTTCCCAAAGCTTTAGTGTTCCTG